AGAACAAATAGCGTGGGGCGATTGAATAGAGACAATTCCGTGTCGGAAAGGGGGAGTGATTTGCAGGCGTCTGAAGACAGCGGTGGTGACAACTGTCAGCGAACCAGAGGGAGAGGTAGCTATAAAAACTGTCAACTGCTGGGGTTACGCAAATGGCCTTAGCATGTGTCAGTCGGGCAAAGGCGGTTTCAAGTGGTCCTCGCCGCAGACGCTTCTATATTATCACGCGAAAAGACAACTGGGTCAAATGCGTTCAGGATAACTCGGCACGACAGCTGCTGTGTTTCCTCCACTTTCCTGTAGAAGGCCGAGAGAGGGGGAGGCAATGCCGAGTAGCTGTTGGAACAGTTGTTTCTTGCTACAGTGGGAGGCCGGAAGTATTGTGGGCAAACGTGGTTAAAAGGCAAGAGAGCCGGACGGGGGGTGGGGACAGTATTCAAGCGAGCACTTAAGTGGTGCTTGGCCGGGGGACTATATTGAACGCCAGTGTGCAGTCAACTGGGACAATGAGGTCAACAGTAACATAATTCCTGGAGGGAGGGGACTCGCGCATGCAGTTCAGTTCTTGGAAGAAGGGGACCTGGGCAGGCAGTTCAGAGCAAATTAAATCCGAAGATGACATTGACGTGGTGAATGTCACACCTTTGCTTCATTGAGGAGAACATTGCATATACCAGTGCAAACAGACTCCTTGATGATCGCAATTCAACAACGGCACTTTAAATGGTCTTTTTGCCTTTAAATCGCATTTGTTTGAAATCCACAGTTCACACTATAGATGGCTGCTTCGAGTCTGCTTTCACATTGTCATGCGAATCGATTGCTACGCACGTATCTCTCTAGCATCATGTGATATGACCTTGTTGTCATCACTGGCCGCTGATAACTTATTTTCGGGCTCATACAAACACTAAGCTATCGCCTTCCTGACCATTTGTCCTACACCTCCCCCCCGCCCCCTGTGGCGAATAATGGAACTGGATGGAGTGCCGACCAAACTCATTGCCAT